AAATATTTGATACGAAAATCAAATCATTATGTTAACAAAGAATTTTAGTTGTTCAAGAGGTGACTGTTAGAACTTTTATTGTTGTTGAAGAAGATTCGATTCTCCACTTTATTAACTCCCTCTCGTTTTTTTCCTTCCTCTCCACCCTATATATAATTAAACTTTTTAAAAAAATTATTCTGTTAATAAGTGGGAAGGAAAAAATCGTCGTGGGATAGGTAAATCCCTCGTAACCCTTAATGGGAATGGGGAAATTCTTAGTAGAAAGCAATTTCTTATTAATGAGTTCTACTCAATACAAATTTAAATTAGCCGAGTCGATAATTTTTAAGAAAAGAGTTGAGGGGGAGGGGGAGGAGGGAAGGAACCTCATTTTCCCTTTCCTTTTCTTCTTTTTTCTTTTGTTGCTTTCAAGTATATTTTGCTTTAATTGATGTCTTTATTTACAAAAAATTATTGAGGCAACTTTTTATCGATATGAGGATACTTTATATCATATTCTAGTTAAATATTTCTTCATTACAATGATACAATGTGAGGATTAGTATGAATCCATTATTATCTTATAGTTCATTTAGGATCTACAAGAATATGCTATTAATTTCTTCATAAAAGGGTTGCGTTCTATTTTAAAATCAAAATAAAAAACTACTCATATTTTTTTTGGTAATATACAAATTTAACGGATGAAATAAGAAATATTTTTGTAATGATTAATCAACCCTACCTAACCCCAACATTGCATAGACTCAAAGTTGAGTTTGCATATTCAGTAAATATAAAAAGAGAAACTCATTTCTACTTTATCGCTTATAATAGACAAAAAAAAAAAAGGCATTACTACAAGATCTATTACATAAATGTCAAAGGACTTCTGTTTTTTTGGCATCAATTATTTTCGATACAATTTTTTTTAATTCTTAAGAAATCGATTACAAGAATGTTCAATTAACCAGAGTTAAAGGGTCAAAAGAAATTTATCTAAAAAATTTCACCGTTAAATTATAATATCATATCATATCATATAACAAATGTTAAACTATCCTGATTAAAATTCTACCTTCATCTCTACACATTCAATATTCATTCATATTCGTAAACATAGACGAGTGCCTTGCGTTGCGTACACATATCTAAGTAAAATATATATATAACTTCTCATAATTATAAATCTTTTATTTTTTTAATTTAATATAAATATCGAACACAAATAAACTACCATAAAAAACAAGGGAAGCAAAAAAGGTGTGAGAAATGCAGTTTCCAAGACAAGAGAATACATCAGCATAGAAACAGTTTCCTGTCTTTTAAGAACTGTTACACATTATGTCATGAAACTGTCTCAATAGCTATTTTCATCAAGCAACACCCCACCCCACCCCACCCCCCTCTACCCATACCTCTCCTTCTAAATCATGTTACAATTCCTAATATAGCCAAACACAACTAATGTATTAACTAATTTACCATATAATAAAAATAAAGTTATTAGTCTTAAATAGAAATTTTTTAGCGTTGTAGAGTACAACAATAACATATTCAGTGAAATCTCACAAGTGAGATAAAGAGGGTAGAATATATGTAGACTTTATCGCTATCTCATGAAGATAGAAAAAATTATTTTCAAAAGGTCATCAACTCAAATACAATAAATTCAGATACAAAGATGGAGACAATAATGAGAATGTATTGTTGAGTATTGATTATTAGATGGGCTCCTTTAAAAGGGGATGATCAAATTAAAAAGAAAAATAAAAAATAGCTACTCGTTAATCTGTCGCTAAAAACCTCATAGCTAATAAATTTTCAAGAATTTATCATACAACCAAGATTTTTGTTATTGCTAACATATATTATTCTTCACTAGATCATTATTTTTTTTCATAATGAACAAATATCTTACGTGTATTATTACGTAGATATAATTGGCTTATATAGTTCTTTTTAATTATTAGATATATACACATGAACAATTTGTGAAGAAGCTATAATTAAAGACGAACGTCTCTCAATTTGGTTTTAGGTTTTGATAAATTTAGACAAGAAGAATATATCGTACCTTTAATTCGGATTTATGCAGAATATATGAATATATGATAAGAAATTGATTGGTCAATTTCAAATATTATTTATTTATTTTATTTTAGTTTTGCTTTTTTCATAATGAGGGTATATTTAGAGAATTTTTGGGGATAAGTATTCACCTGTTAAAATCTCCAGCTGCCAAAAGCCTGATAGGGTGGGGTTACAGAGTTACACTATGGAAAATTGTCTGTTCCATTTGTTTTGTTTCATAAAGTGAAGAATTTTTAGATAAAATCAAAAATTAGTAATTGAGACTTGTAGCTTTCAATTTAAAAGTACTTTTTTTTTTCTTTTTCTTAATCAAATTTGTAAATTGTTTCACGTAAGTGAATTTATAGTTTAGTGATATCGATGAAAGTTACGTGACACCTAGTGTACTATCCTCTTCTTTCTTTTTTTGGATCATGCTTGATGCAATAGAAAAAGGAAATAGAAAAATTAATAAAATTAAATGTAATTTTATCGAATGATAATTTTGTTAATTGTTAATAACTTTATTGGTTCATCACTAATGAATATGTGACGGAAGCGGAGTCATAATTTGGGGGTTCAATTCTCCACCTTAATTGTGGAAGAACGGGAGCTCATTATCAAGTGAGCTAGGTCTCAACCCCTATGGCAAGAAAATTGTTATTATTATTAACGAATGTGTCTCTAAGAGAATTTCAAAGGAAGACTTAATAAAATATTATAGACGAGCCAAATGTCAATAGGTTTGTTGAAAAATTCATACCTAATATTACAGCTTCATTTATAAGGATGAAATCAATTAATCCTTAATTAGAGATGTTTGATTATAGTTTCGAAAATAAAAAAATTCTTGACAAAACGTGTTTTCTCTCTAACTAATCATACATAATAAATTAATCATAATTGAATCAGTAAATTTTGATAGTGTACGATTAAATTTACCTCCAAAATCGACGTTGCCACATAAGATTTTTTTTTCAATTTTCACGTATAAAACATGATAACCGGTTGGGGGTCATATCTAACTTACCTTTCACAACTTTAATCCTAGCAAGTTCTCAACCAATTATATATTCCCCTAACCTTCTATGCAATCCTTTAGGAATGGTCCCAATATGGATCCTAAAAGCCAACTCTAGTAACTTTAGGACATAGTTTTAAGTATTGCTTTATTCTTAAATAGAAAATTCAACTTGACTTATAGGTGTGAAGTCACTTTTATAAAGAGTGTTTAAATTTTCAATATGAAAATTTTCAGATACGAGTTACATTTAATTACATAAGCTCTAATATAAGTACTAAATACATTGATCAAATGAGAAACAAAAATAAAGTTCACAACTAATTGATTTGAGTCATGAATATGAAAACCTTTGGAAGAAGCATTTTAGCTCTCGCACCACAACTCAAAATTAGTTGGACCTTAATGTAAATATCAGAGACTCAACATCGGATGAGGAATAAAAATGAAATTCACAACCAATTGATTTGAGCATGGATATGAACATGGATAGAGAGGTTTTAGCCCTCAATTAATGTGAGACTTTCCAACGTGATTCAGATTTTATTGGATTCCAATATGAATATCGAACAAAATTCACACCCAATTATTGCCACCCCCAACCCATGAAATCCTCTAGGGTTCGGTCCACACATGAATATGAAACTTAAAAGCTAACTCTACTAAACTCTATGATGGGTGATTCAGCAATTTTAGACTTATCTTAAAAGTAGAATAAATGATGAGCCTAATGAAGCTTTTTATGGACACCTTCTCTCTCTCTTTGATATTACGTATAAGAAATCCCTCTTCCTTATTATTGTAAAATTGAATTAGTTTCAGAACAAAACAAAAATGAAAAAGTTTGATTTAAAGTCTAGGAATTAATCCTTAATTCAATTATTGAGACAGTAAATGGAAACAAAGTTCTATTGTGATATCAAATCCGTTGGATATATGCGTATAATATAGGTGAAGAAATAGTGTTTAAGATTTAATATATACATATACAAGTAATTTTTTTATATATACTTGATGACTATAATTCTCTATATGCATAATCTACATTATCGATAAAGAATATTTAAGTGATTACCTTTCATTCATTGTATATAGTTTCGATACTACGATCGAGTTAGTTATGTTTACATATGTTCTATGCTTTTTAGGAACCTTATGATCCTATTCGAGAACAAATTTTATAAATCAGTAGAATATATAAAGAATTTCTGGTATTATTATTTTAAATTTTATGTTCAATTAAATTATAAAAATAATTAAGTAATATTTTCCTTATTTTAATGGGACCAAGATCATAGTTAGTAACATAAAAGATATATAACTTTTAAAATTTTAGTTCATCAACTTATATAAGTTAAATTTTAATTACATCACTAGATCTCAAAATTGATTTTGTATAAATCAAATCCCTTCAATTATTTCAAGGACTATAATCATTATTATGCTATGCAAAACTAAATCCAAAAAATTCCTACTATATATCTTTAAGCAAAACGACTAAACGAAAAAGGTTCTCTATGAAAACATAAATTAAAATTAACAAAAAGTTAAAAAAGATGATTGGGTCCCCTCTTAACTCATTCACAACTATCAATCTTCTTTTTTCCCAATTACCTTTTTATTATTATTTTTCTTCTTCCAAGTGTAGAATATTTTTATATATATAGATTGTCCCTCAAAAAAAAAAACATAAATAAAATAGCAGAACAAACAATATATATGGACCCCACTTTTCATGCAATGACGAAACATTTCACTTGAAATAAATAAATAAAATAAAATTATAAAATAATAATAAATAAAATCGACTCTATGTAGTCTCTATATATAACCACCTTCCTTTACTCATCATCTTCATTCCATTCCCTTCTCCTCCTCCGTCACCACTATCACCATCACCATTCACCATCATTCGCCCAAAAAAAAAAAAAAAAACCAAAATTATTTTAAAAATTCATCATACAAAAAAATTACGAGTCTACAGCTGCCTAATAGCTAAGTGGTAACATAACTACTCTATTTGGAACGAGAAGATTATTTTTCACAACGATGACGAATTTGGAGGCATCGTCATCCGCTATTGCACCGGTGGGCCCGCCACGATCACCGTGGCACTCACCGGTGCCGTATTTATTTGGGGGATTAGCAGCCATGTTAGGGCTAATTGCATTTGCTCTACTAATTTTAGCTTGTTCTTATTGGAAACTTAGTGGTAATTTTGAAGAAAATCAAGAAGGTGATCTTGAAGAAGGAAATAATAACAACAATAATAATAATAATAATAATGGTGAAGATGGTAAAATGGTGGAACCACCAATTCTTGAAGAGAAATTTTTGGTGATTATGGCTGGACAATTGAAGCCAACTTATATTGCTACACCTAGTTTGTCTAGTAGAGCTTCATCTTTTGGTAGCAATAGCGGTTGTACCGTGAGCAGTGAGAGTAGTACGGATAAATCCGAGGCTGAAGAGAAGGAGGAGGAAGGAAATGATGTCTCGGGTTCAAGTCTTGATAATCATGATGAAACTCCTGTAGGAGAGAGAGTAAAGGAGGAGGAAGGAAATGAAGTCTCGAGTTCGACTTCTGGAAATGATTTCGTGGTTAACGTGACACAAATGCAAATTAATTAGCGGAATGAATTTCGAGTCATATGGTAAGCATGATGAGATTAGGTCCTTTAGTTTCAAAGAGAAAAAGAAAAGAAAAAAAAATCTTGTTTTTTTTTTTTACTTTTTTTTCCCCTTTTGTGGGAATTTCCGGAAATGTATATATTTTTTGGAGAATGAATTGGGAAAACTTTATATATCTTAGTAATTTTATATAAGGAGATCATACTTTTTTAATTTTTAGACATATGCTAGGTATGTTATAGCTCATTATTCAATACTTATACACCTTTAGGGGTAAAATTTATATGTGTTAGATGTTTATATCTAGTCGATGAATAAGTAAAGTATATATTTTTGTTAAGATTCATTAATTTATAAAGTTAATTATTTAGTTAAATATAAATACTCAGGGTAAATATTTATCTATCCTCTCATATGGATTTCAATTTCAATTTCAATAGTAAATTATCATTATATTTTTCACATAAGTGGTATGATTCATCCACCTTGAGAATAGTTAGGTAGAGAGTAAATTTGATGTGGTCCTAAGACCTGAGATCCCAAATTCTGAAAATGTCACTCCC